CCACGCTGGACCTGCCTCTCTGAGTACTCTCCCTACCCCACCTCCCCAGGATCCCCGTATTTTTAGGCCATGAGGACCCACTCCACCAGCCTCCTCACCAAAGCTTCTTCAGCCCGTGCCCAGGCTATTCCAGAGTCCTCACTGCCCCTCAGATGTCCTGTGCACAGGCAGAACCGTCAGGCATTTGCACATGCTGTTCCCCAGTCTAGATGCCCCTCCATTCCATCCTCCGCTTGCCCCTCTGCTGTTTCAAAGCCAACTCCACTGTACCCTCATTCAGGTAGTACCTGAAGGGGCTGCTGATGTGTCAGGTATTGTGCAAGGGACCCCAGCTTTCCCAAACCACCAACCCCACCCAGCATGGCCTCGACACCCCCTGCCTGGACTCATCTACACCCTGCCCTTTCACCCAGTATTTTCACTTCTCTGGGTGTCTACCTACCTCCTCTGTTATGCTGGAAGTTCCTTGAGAGCAGGGACTGGGTCGGGTTCATTAGGGGTCCTGGCACCCACACCTGTACCCTGGTATAAGGGGGCATTACGGTTTGTGGAATGGTTGAGTGGCTAGGCCCTGTTCTTTCTCCCTCCACTTGGCTCCCAAGACCCCCGCCCAGCCGGTCCCTCTGGGCGCTGGGGTCCCTTTCTTTCCAAGAGCCCAGGAGGGCTGCGCTTGGGGAGGGGGCTCCCGGAGGCAGCAATCGTCCTGGTCCCGACCCCGCCGACCGAAAGGCAGGGGGAGCCTGAAGGGGGACAGCGGGAGGTCCTCCTCCGGGACAGGCAGCCCCTCGGGACCGCGTCCCGGCATCACCTGAAAGGAATGCTGGGCTCCCGATAAGCGGCCGCCTTTGTCTCATTTCCTGTTTGCCAGGACGTCCCGAGCCGGCTCCCCTGGGCGGCCCGCCCGTCCGCAAGGAGCCAAAGCCGCCTTGGGGGGGGGCGGGCGGGGACGAGGGCGGGAGGGGAGTCCCGAGCGGGGCCCGAGGGGGCGCCCGCCCACCACCGCCTCCGCGGGGCCGGGACGCGCCCGGCTGCTCCCACCCCGCTGGGAAAAACCCCCGTCCAGCGCCCGTGCGGCCGGGCGAGGCTGGAATTTTCTGCAAGGACCTTTGGCGGAAGCAGAGCGGGGTGGGGAAGGGAGGGGAACAGGGGCGCGGCCGCGTCTCGGGCCTCCGGCTGTGCCAACACGGGGTGGGCGGGCGATCTGCGGACCCGTGGCGGTCGGCCCAGCCCTTTCTCAGTTCTGTCCGCGGCCAGGGAGCCCCAGGGCCTCCCGGCCGCCCTGGAGCGGGAGAGGGTGCGGGTGCGGGTGGCGGAAGGGTGCTGGGGAGGGCTGAGCGAGTACCTCAGTAACCTCCGTCAGCCAGGGTACCTGCCCTTGGGTAGTTCATAAATCCTGGCATCCCACTCCCTTGCTGTGTGTCCTGAGGCTGGTCCCTTTCTCTCTCCGGGCCAAGGGCTTGGGTCTTGAGGCAGACCTGGGTTTGAACCCCTGCTCTGTTGGTTACACTCCCGGTGCTTAATCTTGCCGTCTCAGAGCCTCTGGTTTTCTCTCTAGTGGGGATGATAGTACTCATCTCCTGGTGGTGTTGGTAGGATTACAGGAGACAAAACATGCCAAGCATGTAGCGCAATGCTTGGGACTTATGAAGGGCTCAACAAATGGTGACAGCTGTAATCATTTTAAGGGCATTGGACTTGATAATGCAGAGGCTTTTCATAATGAGCTAAGCATTTATTGAGTGCTTAACCGCAGCTTTCTGCCAGCACATTGTTCCGAGTGCTTTACGTATACGATCTCATTTAATACTAGAAACAAACTCCTATTTCCTTATTTTGCAGATAAGGAACAGAAGCATAGAAGAATCTTGAAAGTTGGCCGATGCAGGATTCAAACCCAGGAGGGCTGAATCCTCCTACTAATCGGCTTTGCGTTAGTGGTAGTGGCTGATTGGCAGTGATGGTCCAGTGTCCCTTCCCAGTCCTCTCCCTGCTTGGGAAACTGTTACTCGTCCTTAAAACCCCAGCTCAAACGCTCCTTTCCTGGCGTCCATGGTCTAGTCCACCATTCTCGGCACAGCCGGAGTACCTGTTGACAACCTTTGCTCCTACGCAGGAATGAGGCAGGATTTTTTTTTTTTTTTCCTTAGTCCTGTCCTTTCCTATCCACTAAATGTTCTGCTTGGGCATTCATCCTGGTCTCCTGTGGGGCCCTGTGGGGTCCCGAGTCACCTGACTCTAGTCTCCCCGGAGCTGCTGAGTTCTATCACTTCACGAGTACTGACGCCTCACATCTTCCTGGTATCTTTGCCAAATCCTCATCCTCGCCTGGTGCCCATTAAGGGAAAGGAATCTATGCTTACCGAGCCTGCAGCAGGCCGGGCCTTGGGTTGGGTGCTTCACATGCTTTAGCTCATTTGTTACTACGCACATCCCTGTGAGAAAGTATATCTTTAGAAATCGATGCCAACCGGAGAGGTGACTCTCAGAATGCAAGGGAGAGGCCAACTCCTAGATTGTGAGCAGAGCTGCTGGGCCCGAGCACAGCCCAAAACAGGGGCCCAGATACTGCTGGGTCTACCGACTGTCCCTCTCTCTCCTCTGCCTTTCCCTCTGCAGACGAACTGCCATGAGGAAGGACATGTGGCCAGTGATGACAGCTCCTGAGCTTTTCAGCCCGCAGCGATTTTCTCAGTTTGGGTTCCAAACAAGACCGATGGAACAGGGAAGGCTTCTGATCAGCCTGGCTGTGGTCAGATGTCCACCTGTGGGCCAATCACTTGTGGCCAAGGGACAGGATCATAGGAGTGGGGACAGCCCTGGCCTTAACAGTGTTTGGAGCGGAGGAGATCCCCAAAAAAGGAGAGGGCTGCTGTTCCAGGGCAAGTGGGTGAAGCTGAGCAGATGACAGAACAATGCCCATGGCAGCTAGGGATCACTGTTACTCCTATTTGACAGACAAGGAAGTCGAGGCTCAGGGAGGGGGGGTGACTTCTAAGGCCACACAGCTGATAAATGGTGGAGCTGGATACGGACCACACTGTCTTCCAGTGAATTTGTAGAGATCCCCTTTGCAGGTCAAAGAGTGAGAGATTCCTCCC